CCACACACACACACACACACACACACGCATTGATGCTGACATCCTTCCATGTGCTTTTGAGATGTGCACTTGCTTTCTCGGCTGGATGGCACAATGGGGAGAGATAAATATAATAGCCTTTGAATAGGTGCAGGGCTTTCAGGCAGACTTGGCTCATTCAGAGCTGCACTAAGCATTTTACTTTGCAAGGTTCCAGGGAATGACAACCCAGCGAGATAATAAAAAGTAAAGCAAACTCTAACAGAAAGGAATGGGATGAGCTGTGTGAGTAATTAAAGGTTACATGATACAGTAGCCTGATTTGCACAGATTATTAATACAGTCACGTTTGCATTATATAAAGGATAATTAATATGCTGCCTGCTTACTATTGATTACACCCATCGCCTGGCATGTGTAACAAAGCAACAATGGGTGAAACAGGCAAACCTCAAAAAAACAGCTCTGTAAGCTCTCATTATCACTGCATCTTAAGGACACTGGGAATCGGGACTCCTGAGTTCTATTCCCATGTGGGTCACCCATTCTGTGCCTCAGTATCTCCATTTGCACAGTGGAGAAACTACCTCCTTCCAAGGGCATCATTAATTGTTTGTTTATGAAATGCTTCCAGACTCTGATGAAAATGGACTATGGAAGTGAAAAGTAGTAAAACTACTCTAAGAAATCATGCCTCCCATTACTGTAATGTAAAAAATTGCAAGATTGACTTAATATCAATAATATTAAACCTACACAGATCCAAAGAAAAGCTTAGGATGGGATAGTTTAGAAGATTGTCTGGAGGCTAAGGATCATTACCTCTTTAAGTTGCTGGCTCAAAACCAAATGAGGATGGAATATGACCAAGGGTCCTCATTAACTGACAGAGAAGTGAGTTGCTCTTTATAGTCCACTTTCTTCTGGACAAGCATCCAGTTGGCACCGGTCAGTGACCTTGTTGGAGGGAATTCAAGGATAGCAGAGAATTCAAGGACAGTATTGTATATATGGAGACTAAATTCCTCTTTCAACCCCAGAACTAGTCCCTACAGAAGAACACTGTGGCAGCGTGGAGTAAACATACATTGGCCCTGTGACATGTCATTCCATATTCTTTATGAAAATATGCTTATGATATGAATATGACATAACTGAGATGTACTGTATGCAAGATGGCTCATGTGAGAGATCATTGGAAAGGTTATTATTTACTGAATGCAATTAGCTAATTTGTATGCCTGCATCATTTCTGTATTTGAAGTTAGGAATATTGACTTTGTATCTGTATTTCAGCTATGCTACTTTGGGTGACACCTACTGCTAACACTTCAGGTACAACAATAGAAAAGCCAGACAGAGTGGATGGCCCATCAGCGAGGACATTGAGCTGTGAAAAGCCTGGCCTTCCTGTGGATACTCCATACTGCCACTGACTCATGGACACTGTGATACTACAGGGTCAAGTGGTCTTGTCATCTGATACTAAAACATTACCTGGGACTTCTTGTAACTTTCCACTGTAAGGGAAGGGAGGGTCAAGTTTGGGAAACAAAGGATTCCCGCCTTATGTAAATCCTATTAAAGGGTGGGGAGAAAGGCAAACAAGACTCCTTCTCTCCATGGCCTGTCTGTCCAAGAAGAAAGAGTGCAAAAGGGAAGGCAAGGTGGGGAGTCCAGACTGAGACAGGGGTCCAGTCTGAAAAGGAATATAACTGGAACTCGGAACCACAGAAACTTTGCAAACTGCCTGCAACAATATCTAGGGTGAGAAATACTATTTGTAACCAATTTCTTTAATGAAACTAGCTTAGTTTGCATGTTTGATTTAATTTGTTTAGTAATCTGCTTTGTTCTGTTTGTTACCCCTTCTACCACTTAAAATCTGCCCTTTGTAGTTAATAAAATTTGTTTGAATTATTATTAAGTTCAGTTTATGTAATATCTAACTGGGGGTGGGAGGAAGAAGTGTGCACACCTCTCTCCACATTGAGGGAGGGGGGCGAATTTCATAATATATCTTTGAGTCTGCACTCCAAAGGAGATGGACATCTGAGTGCTGGAGCAAGTCCCTTAAACTGAGTCTTCCCAGAGCTGATCTGCAGCTGGGTGCGGCCCTGCCTGTGTGTGTATAGAGGAGGTTTTAAAAGCCTGTCTCAGCAAGACAGGTTAAAAGGGGGCCTATGCTGGCAGAACAGGTAGATTCTATGGTATCTCAGCACGTCAGGTGATTTCCCAAGGGGTCCAACCCATCACAGGCCCTCTGCCTATTCAGTGGTCAGAGGACTTTTGCCTCCTGGGCTGTCAGTCTGGCACCTTTCCCTACCCCTAAATTCGCTATCAATCTGAAAATGAACGAAATAAGACTCCTGTCTTCCTGAATTCACGTGGTGAGTGCTGAGTCTTGTAATAGCCCAGCACTGAAGATTAAGGTTAACATAACTTCCATTACCGTCCATGCACAAGAGCTGTCCAACATGATGTTGAATTGATACATCAGTTGTTCGAAGAGAAAAGACAGCACTGTGTTTTCCAGTTGTGGCTGCTCTGATTGATATGCTGCCTGCGTGTTTCTGATCTTTGCACAAGAGGATTTAGAGGTTGAACAAACAACAAATCTGACTCATTTAGTTAAGAGGAAAGGGAGACAGAACATTTTTGCAAATGTTAAGTGGCCAGGTTGCATGTTAAATAGGGCTATTGGCTCTGAAGAAGAGAAATGCACAAGGGCCCAGCTCCATGAGATGCAGTGCAATCGACTACTTTTTAACCTGAGTGTTTTTGACAGATTCAATGTGCCTAATTTTACATATGTTATACCAAGTTTGCCCTGGCAAATTTACAAGTATTGTTTCAGAGACTGGAATTTCAAACCTGTTTTCATTAGTTGCTGGGGTCTGAGCCTGTAGCCTCTGTTAGATTATCAGCTTTCTTTATTAAATGGATGCTGTGCTTATGAGAGGTGCTAGATTGTACTTGCTGAAGACTGAAATCCTCTATTTGTGAGTCAGGCACAGCATGTGCCATGGCAGTGGAACTTTCCACATTCATCACCCCACAACGGTGCCTTAGACCTGCACCAGAGGTCAGTGTGCACATCCCTTTGATCAATAAGGGAATGCATTAAATAATGCCAATTGTGTGGGGGGCCTGATGTGGTAGCTCTAATAGATTGGGAGAGAGATGCTGTCCCTGGGGTATTTCCAGCCCAAGCGAAAGGAAGAAGGAGCAGCAATCTCCCAAGAAAAGCCCCTTTTTGTACCACTTCCAGGCCAGTTGTCGAGACTGAAGAGATTGGAATAAGTATTAGACTGTTGGCTGCTTATTTAAAGTTTCAAACTTCTTGAGGTTCATCCATCCCTAACCTCTGACCTTATCAAGGGAATATTATATATGTGGTGACTTCTTGAATTGATCATTGTTGCCTTCCTATATATGTGTCTTTTTCAAACAGCTTTCCCTGTTGCACCGGGGTACCCCTTAGAAGATCTCCCCAGGTTTTTGTACTATATATTTATTATTAACTTGACTGTGATACACCGTAAGTTTCAGACACGCTATGTGCTGGAGGTGGCTATTGGGATGCACAAGCATCTCTATCAGTGGCAGGAAATAGATTTTCTGTTAACCTTCTGCAACATTTGGCAGGCATCAGTTATTGACTACGATGGTAGAATGAGGGATGCACAATAAAGGGCCTGATTCTGCAGTCCTTTCACAGGCAAGGCTCCCATTGAAATCGATAGGATTTTTGCCACAGTAAGGACTACAAGACTGGGCCAAAATCTGAGCCAACCTGAATCATCACCTAAAATGTGCACATATTTAGTGCTATGGAAACTTGAGATTGTAATTCTTTGCCGAGGTTCAAATGACTCCTTTCTAAAGGTCGTTTTCTTACATTTTCATTCTTCTCTGCACTTTCAAGTTGTTGCCAGGCTTGCAAACAGAAATGCCAAAGTACCCCACAAAAGGTTGTTGCAACGCAGTAGTTATGTAAGAATAGTGCAGCTATGTTGTGATTTTATTTCTATATACTGCACTCTGAAATGTAGAGGAGTTCTCTAGTCGCCTGCAGGAACAGTGCCTTGGGGATAAGAGTATATTTTAGAGTGAGTTGTACATGGTGCTCTCTCTCTCTAATGGGGAACTTGTTTCTGACTCGGCGTCAGAGGAATTACATTAGTGTCGGAGCAAATAGTGGTGCCCCCTCACAAAGCTTGTGTAAATGAGATCAGAATCAGGTCCTTAATACTTGTTCTTTGCTGGTATTTTTTTAATCACAAATGCAGATTGTCTAGACTGAAGACGCATGTTTGGACTGGTAAGTGCATTGTCAGAAGGAGAGCTGGTTGGATCAGCCCTGTATACCTTGGACTCAGCCCTCGTTTGTATTTCAACTGTCCACAAGCTGATCACAATTTCATTGTTTCTATAATTTTTACAAACAGATTTCATCCCATTGGATTTTTCAAGAAGTATTCATAGCAAGTGATACATGCAGTATTCAAGGTCCAATATTGGAGCTCAGTGATTGGCTAACTAAGTCAGATGGCATGGTTTCTGTTCCCTAGTTGAATGACCTAAAGTAAACATGTCTGGCATGAATATTCTCATTTGTGAGCAGACACCCATGTTCTTTTGAACAGAGTAACAGATCCTCAGCTGATGTAAATCAAGTAGCGTCATTGACTTCAATGAAGTTTTGTTGACTTACCAGCTCAGGATCCATCTCTGAAGCCATCCCCAAAAGTCCATGAAAGCACAATACACCTGTGTGAATGTCCAGGGAAAAGAGAGCAAGAAAGCATATGAACAAACAGCAGAGGCATTTGTGAATACTTTCCCCCACCATCCCCTTCATGGCTGTAAGATTAATTTAAGACAGTCTAATCCTTTAATGATAAAAGCTAACTTGATATAATACTGACTCTCTGGGTTTATAAGGGAATTTTTGAAATATGGTGCTGGATAACTGACAAAACCTCAGAATTAAAGACTGAGTACAAGTTTCTTCAGAAGTAACTTTCTGCTTCCAACTGCCATAGGGTTAACTAATTAGAACTAGAATTCCTGGTGCTGACAACTGGCAGCCTTCAGGGGCTTCAGTCTGCGCTCAAGCCACTGCTGCCAAACCAACCATTTGTCTGTTGATGAATTGTTTTTTAAATGTGTTGCTGTTTCTATTAAGTCATTAAGGGGCAGACATTTAAAGGTATTTAGGCTCCTAAAGATGCAGTTAGGTGCCTAGCAGGGTTGTGAAAACTACCTAGGTGTTTAACTGTAGGCACCTAACTGCATCTTTAGGAGCCTAAATGTCTTTTAGAAATCTGGCCCTACCATTTAGGTTAGATATTAGGAAAAACTTGCTAGCTGTACACGTAGTTAAGCTCTGGAATAGGCTTCCGAGGGAGGTCATGGAGTCCCTATCGTTAGAAGCTGTTAAAAACAAGTTAAACAAACACCTGTCAGGGAGGGTCTAGATTTGCTTGGTCCTGCCGCAGCGCAAGGGGGATGAACTGGATGATTTCTTCTCGAGGTCCCTTCCAGTCCTACATTTCTGTGATTCATCAGTTTTCTCCCCATTTTAGAGCAATTGCCAAATAGTCTCTCAGTTTGAGGTAGCATTACCTGAGCTGAGAGGAAAGGTTCCCTTTGTTGCAACTAGACTTTAAAAAAACTACATGTTAAGCAAAAAAACCAACCAAACAACCCCACCATGTGTAGGCTTTCCCACTGACTGTCAACCAAACAACCCCACTGGGTGTAGGCTTTCCCACTGACTGTCAACAAGACCTAGGCTCCTGCACTCCTATGTCATTTTCGAAAATGGGAGTTAGGCCCTGTAGTGAGCCGGTGTGGCACCCCTCCGTCTCCGATAGGGCCGAGCTTCCTCCAACCCCAGCGTGGGTGGAGCCATCAGGTCCGGGGCCCGCCCCTCCGAGGTCACGGCCCCGACCCGGAAGTATAAAAGCCCGCCGACAGAGCTCAGTGAGGCCCAGACCGCCAGAGAGAGCAGATGTCCTGGGCCGAGCTCCTGCTTGGGAGACAGCCGCAGGCCGCGAACCGCCTGCTACCCCCCCCCGCGCCGGTCGAGCCTACCTCTCGCCAGCTACCCCGAGGAGGACTGGCCAAACCTGCCCCGGACCAGCTACCCCGAGGAGGAGCCAAGCCTGCCCCGTGCCAGCTACCCTGGGGGAGACCTGCCGGACCGGCCCGCAAGCCCCGCCCCAGAGGAGCTGATGCTGCTGGACTGGCCCGAACCCGGCATCGCCAGCGAGGTAGGCCCCGAGGGGGAAAACGGAAGTAGCCCGGGGGTAGCCGACCCCGGTCCGGCTGCAGAGGCCTGTGAGCCAATGTCAGTGTGTTTCGGTCAGGATGCCCCACTGACCTGCAGCAGCAGTAACCGCTGCTAGGGCCCCGGTCTGGAACGCAGTGAGGTGGGTGGCCTGCATTCCCCCCTGCCACCCCGCTCACGGGTGGCAGGCTTCCCCCTCACCCGACGCTCAGGTGTAGGACCCTGGGCCTCCCCCAAGTGCTTGTTTGCTCAGCCCCTGCATCCAAGGGCCTGAGCTGTGACTGTTTGTGCCCCGCCCTGACCCAGGGCCTGGACTCCTTAACTGCTTATCTGCTCAGCCCCTGCACCAGAGGGCCTGAGCTCCTTAACTGCTTGCTTGCTCAACCCCTGCCCCAAAGGGCTTGAGCTGTGACTGTGTGTGCCCCGCCCTGATCCAGGGCCTGGGCCTGCTTAAACTGCTGGTTAGCGCTCAGCCTCTGCCTAAGGGCCTGAGCTCCCTGAACTGCAGGCTGCTTAGCCCCCGCGTAAAGGGACCTGAGCTTTGACTGTCTGCGCTATAGTGAGCCGGTGTGGCACCCCTCCGTCTCGGAGGGTAGAGCCCCGGTGCGACCCAACTACAGGCCCTAAATTACTTCAGGACCTTTTGAAGATTTTTACCTGGGATCCTAGTATCCTCGGGAAAAGAGTTACTTTAACAAGGAAACTCTCCTTCAGAAGAACAGACTTGTGGTTGAGGCACAAGGTTCGTACTCGTGAGATCTTGGCTGAATTCCCAGCTTTAACACAGATTTACTGAGTGAACTTGGGCAAGTCACTAGAGGCCCAGATCCTCAAAGGTTTTTAATCTCTCTGTGCCTCAGTTCTCCATCTGTAAAAGGGGGATACTAATGATTCCATTCTCACCTCTTCTGTCTCGTCTATTTAGATTACAAGGTCTATAAGGCAGGGCTGTCACCTACCACATCTCTGTACTATACCCAATACTATACAATAAAGTTTCAAATTCAGTCGCACCCTGCAAGTGCTGCTACTAAAAATAGTCAATCAAAAAGCTGATGCCCTCCCCCCACCATCTGAGGGCAAAAAATGGCCCTTTTGTTGTAAAGAGCTTCTCTCTGCACTCCCTCGCTCCACGCTCCAGGTATGCTGAGGGAAACAGCAACATATTCAGCTTGGTGCTCAGTCCCCCCTTTTGGTAAAACTTATATAAAAAAAACCCATTACAATCTCAAGTTTCCATAGCACGTCCAAAACATCCCTCAAGCCAAAACCCACCATTTGTTGCATTGCTTTGTCCCCTGCAGCTGCTGCCCTCCCCTGCAGGCTTTGTGTGTCAGAAGGCAGTCTCATTCAAGGGCTGTCCTGCCTACCAGGCACATCACTTTGAAGGTCCAGTGTTGCTGTGGAAATTCAGATGTATGGGGCAGAATCTGAAGTGTTGTTTGGTTTTATATCCCATTCCAAAGGCCGCACCTGCAGTAGCACAGTGGGGCCCGCACATTCACTTTGTTGGTTCAGTGAGTACTGATTCTGGTTGCTGAGTCACTAATGACTCTTCTTACAGGCCCTCCATGGTCTCTCTTCCAAGGGCTGATCAAGCCCAGCCCTGTTTAGCTAACAATCGGAGAAAATCCCAATCCAAACTGATACAGCAGCACTTTTTTTTTTTCTTCACATGGATTTTTTCATGGGGGCCAGTTACCCTACTGTCTAAACAGAGCCTCGCTGGATAGCCTGTTACTTGGCCAGAATGCATTCTCTGGTTACTTAAGTGGACAAACACAAGTGGTTTTGCTTAATGGTATTAAACAGAAGATGATAATGTTACCTTAGGGATCAAGTTGTAGGCGTTGTACTTGGTGACCTGAGCAGCAGGAGTCCCTCACAGCCAGGCCTCACGTGGCATTTCAAGGTGGATGATAATGTATGGACTTGTCTGGTATGGAAGAAATTTACAAGGGAGAAAGGTTAAGAACAGGGAAGGGATGAATGGAACATTTAAAACAAAAAACATCTATTCACAGCTTCCTATCAGCAGGGCCGGCTCCAGGCAGCAGCTTAACAAGCAGGTGCTTGGGGCGGCCAAGGGAGAGGGGCGGCACCTGCGGCAATTCGGGGGCGGCAGGTCCCTCACTCCCTCTAGGAGCGAAAGACCTGCTGCTGAACTGCCGCTGCCGATCGCGGCTTTTTTTTTTGTTTTTGCTTGGGGCGGCAGAAATGCTGGAGCCGGCCCTGCCTATCAGACTTTAACCCACCTTCCTCCTGTTTCAGCCTAAACCAGGGGTCTCAAACACATGGCCGTGGGGTTATTTTCTGCGGCCCGTGAGCTCCTCGCGGCCCCCCCTCGCCCTTCCCCAGTGTTTACCTAGAGCGGCTCTGGCCCGACGCGCACTGGGGGCAGGGCTGCCTGCCTGCCCTGCCCCCGCGCCGCTCCGGGAAGCGGACAGAACCTGGGGAAGGAGGGGCGCTGGGGTGTGTGTGGCTGTTGCTTCAGGCACCGCCCCCAGCAGCTCCCATTGGCCGCGAATGGGGAACCAGTGCGCGTCGGGCCGGAGCCCACCCCCGAACCCCTCCTGCAGCCGAACTCCCTGCCCTGAGCCCCCTGCCGCACCCTGCACCCCTCCTGCACTCCACACCCCAACTCCCTGCCCTGAGCCCCCTGCCGCACCCTGCACCCCTCCTGCACTCCACACCCCAACTCCCTGCCCTGAGCCCCTGTCACACCCCTGGGGGCAGGGAGGGGGCAGTGTTGGGGTGGGGATTTCAGGGAAGGGGTTGGAATGGGGGCAGGGAAGGGGTGGGAAGAGGCGGGGCAGGGGCGGGGTCTCACAGAAAGGGCGGAGTGGGGGCGGGGCCGAGGGCGGCGAGGAGGATGTGTCAGTAAATGTGGCCCTCGGGCCAATGTACTAGTCCTCATGTGCCCCTCGTGGTCATTTGAGTTTGAGACCCCTGGCCTAAACCCTTTAAGGTGTTCTCCCCCACTCCCTCCCCCTCCCTTTTTTTTTTTTCACTAGAGAACACAAAAGTTCACCTTTCTGATCTTCCAAGAGTGAACTGATCCCCTAACTAAGTTACACACCAACTCATCCTAAATGGAAAACCAGCCCATGAAGTATAGCGCAGAATGAACAGCTCAAGCAGGAAGTTCGCTCGCTTCTCAGAGACAGCAAAGTCCACAATGAGCAGCTCAACACTGAAGAGATGACAACAGCCATGAAAACCCTGAAATGTGGAAAGGCAATTGGACTTGATGGTATATCTAATGAACTATTACTACACTTCAGGACAAAACCACAAAAGTGGCTGCTTGACTTAACTCTTGCATGGATGCAATGTAGATATCAAGGCTGTTGAGATAGGCCCGAGTGGTTGCATTACTCAAACCACATAAAGCCCTAAATCTGCAAAGAGTTTCTGACCAATATCCTTACTCTATTCTGTTTACAAGCAATGCGAGTACATGATAATGGGTAGAATAGTGCCATTAGCAGACAGGCAGCTGGCTGATAACTAAGCTGGTTTCCATCCAAGATATTTATGCTGTGGCCAAGTTGTAAACCTAACTCAGTACATTGAAGATGGCTTCAAAACCTACAAATTTGCAGGGGCTGTGTTTTGTTGACCCGTCAGCTGCTTATGACGTGGTGAACCAATGTGCACTTCTACTGAAATTGGCAAAAATTCAGAGAAATAGCAAGATAATCCAGGACACCTCCTTCCCGTTCGAGAATTGAATTTCTGTGTTGAGATGGATGGTCGGAAAAATCGAGGGCATACTCAGTGGACTAGATTGCCCCAAGACTCAGTGCCATCACCCTTGCTGTTTAATGTCCGCACAAATGACCAACCAGAATTCCCTGATGTGTGAAGATTCAGTTATGCAGATGATCTTTGCATCCCCATGAGACTTAGGTTCCATGTGACATGTAGCCAATGCCGTGCCAATGCTGAAGTTTGAATAGGTCTAGTGATCATCACAAATTTCCAACATGGCTACATAGTTGTTTCAGTGAGGGGTGAAGTGATCCCAAAGTATTGTAAAGTTTAGCAACTTCTGAGGTGGAATGCAGCAGTGGTTTAAGGCAGGCCTCATCCAAAGCCCTCATTGTCAATGGAAAGAGTCCCTTTGACTTCAGTTGGCTTTGGATAAAGCCCTAAGAGTGCAGTATCATGCAATAATTTAGACCATGTTGTGAAAAAGAATATCATCCCCCACTGAAACTGTCAGATCTCCCATGGTTCATTATGGAAATATTTTAGGTATGGGGGTAGTGAGTACAAATTTCAGGGGTGCGTGTGTGTGTGTGTGTGCATATGCACTTGCATATCCAAGCTGAAATGTCTGGTCAAGGTACTCACTGGAATCCACAACACTGCAGCAATGCAAAAGGAGGCTTTACGTGTTTGATTAGTTAACAGAAATAAAGCAAAGCACCAGATCCTCAGCTGGCGGGAGCTCCATGGACTCTAGTAAGGTGATGCCAGTTTGCAGCAGCAGGGAGTCTGGCGTAAGTCTCTCTATAGAGGAGCAGAATGAGTGTGGAGGGCTGCTGAACTGCACTGTCAACCTAGCAAATGGCAATGTCAAGGGCATTAAACCATTAAATGAGATGTCCCTTGACTTCGAAAAGAGCTCAGCTCAGAATTAAACGCTGCACTCCCAGAACAGAAACCTAATGAACTTTTGATGAACTGGGATAGAGGCAGACAGTTGCCTCTATTGAATCAGTGTCCTAGAAGGCTGGCTTTATTAATGAATGTTTTATAGACAGAGAGACTGGCTGAATCAGAGATTTCAGACTTGAGCTGTGTGGTGTTTTTTTTTTTAATTTTAATTGCATTTTCAAGAGTTCACAGGAGAAATCTGTGATGGGTCACAAATGACAAGCCTTTGGAAAGAATTTCAGGCATCTTTCCGGTGACCTTCTCAGTCTTAGACACAGTCATGACCGTTCAAGAAATACTGATAATGGGATCTTGGAATTGCCTTACAGGATTGGAAGCTGCCCCTTTTATTTGCTGAAGAGGATCCATATGTGCATATGGACGGGACTGTACAAGCTCTTTTGGGGGTCAGCAGAAGCAGCTCACCTGGTTTTCATGCTGGGGCAAACCACCATGAGCCTTAAACAAGTGCTGAGGTGGTTTACGGGCGGCTGCTGTAGTAGATACACAATTAGCCCAGTGCTGTTCCTATGTGATTGGTAGGATTTATATTTAATCTGGAGCCTAGTCAAGCCTTGTGAATCCCTCGGAGTAGATGGGAATTGCTTCCTTTTTGTCTGGAGATGAGGGTGGAAAAAAAGCTGACTTGCTTTGCTGATTCAGTTAGACAGGGCATCTGGCCTAGTTAACCATTAAGGATGCATGTTAGAGAGCTGTCTCCAGGAGGGTTTTACCTAAATGAGGACTTAAAGATTTGGTCTCTAATGCCTAAGATCTAAGTAGAATGATCCCTATCTAATAAGAATGCCAGGCAAGTTCTGGGGCTATGGGAAGTTAGGAACCTGAATACCTTTGAGGATTTGCACCTTTGTTTGTATTTAAACAGACTTACTAGAGAGAATGAATAGGGCAGGGAATGTAGGAAGCTAGGACAGAAACCTCCTGAGACATAGATATTGGGGGCCTGACTAGGAAACAGAGCTTTGCACTCTGCCAGTGTCATTCTCATTATCAATAATGTCAGCACACTAAAGAGAGCAGGGGAGAAATATATTACAGCAGATTTATCATACAGGATCAA